AACATTTTAAGGGAAAGTATTTTGAAAGAGAGTTCCTTTACTTCCCTGTCCCATTTTCAGGCAGACCATATTCACTAAGTACCTCCAGTCTTGTAACAGTAATTTAGGCTTGTTTGTGAAATCAGAATTGGAAATAAATCTGTCCCAAGTTGTGGCTCTGGTTTTGGTTTGGAGGGCAAATGTTAAGAGAGGTAGGTTGCTATTTGAATGTAATTACTAGTCATCGGCTGTCACAAAGAGATTGAAATTACACAAATTAAAAGAAGAGAGAAGCAGAGAATGAACGACTCATTTATATCCCAGTTTTAAATGGAAGCTTTTTTCATAGGCTTCTGTGAAAGGTGCCACAGATTATTACAACAAAACGATCCACTCAAGAATTTTACAATAGACTGAAATGATTTCCCACAAAAAGCTCAATTCGTTCAAGCCGTGCTATTATTGTAGTCCAATACATGATTCCCCACCCCAAATAAAATATTTCAATTTTCTCTATAATGCTGAGCATTGATTTAAATGGAGCTATTTTGGACAACCCTTCCTCAATGCTTAAAAGTTTCTTTTTAAATTCGTAATGTTAAAGTATGTAAATTCTATGGATTTGGTGAAAATAAGTCCATATTAACAAAACATGAGAAATCAATTACAGTTTCTTTTCTTGCAAGTGAGTCAATAGAAAAGAAGTGGTAGTGGGTTTTTTGTATTTTATTTATTTTTTATTTTATGGTAAATGGTATAAATGTGCTAAATAGGAGGGAGAAATTATTTTCTCTGGCTTTCCAACTTTCCATGCAGCAAAGAGTTACTCAGATATACTGAGTAAAAGAAAAACTACAGTAATAACCTTGATACATCTATAGTCTTAGTCTTTTCTTTGGGTAGTACCAAGTGCAATTCACAACAGATTTAAAATAAAAGCTTTTTTTGACTAGGTGCTGACTTTCTTCATAGTAAATGAGTTTGCCACCCTCCTACTATTAATTGTGCCTTAAAAAGGCCTCCAATCATAAACCAGATTTTGAATGGTGCAAATGTCACTAACTCTCTCTCCAGAAAATGTTCCCTATTACATATCTTGATAGATATACCCTGTTTCCCTGAAAATAAGACCTCCCAAGATAATAAGCCCAATCAGGCTTTTGAGTGCATGCACTAATATAAGCCCTCCCCCAAAATAAGCCCTTCCTGAAAATATTGCAACACAGCAGCAGCCATGAGGTAACCATGCTGCTGTCTCCTGCACCTCAAAAATAATAAGACCTCCCTAAAAATAAGGCCAAGTGCTTATTTCGGGGGTTAAAAGAAAATAAGACCCTGTCTTATTTTCAGGGAAACACAGTAGATTTAGAAATGGAAATAAAATATATACCTACTTTCTCAAAAGAAAAAGTTCTGCTAGCCTGTACTGTACTTGTGTTTCCATCAAATTCTAATGAGGACCAGAAAAAAAAAACTTGTTCCAACTTATGTATTTAAAAACTTTGGAAAGCATTGATGGAACAAAGTGAAGGCACAGCTTTTCAAATTTAAAGTTTTAATGAGGTTTCAAGTGCTTTTGAAATACTCTTGAAAACTCACAACCTTGACTTTAAGAATGGACTTCTTCCAAGTATCAGAAACAACTGGATGCATCTTCCAAGTATGATTAGTAGGCATCAATAGCCATGATTTCATCTAATCCTCATTCCCAATCACCTATCCTTGGTGACCATCATGACATCACATAGTTGTGTAAAAAACTGCCAAATGAAAGAATATCTCCTTGGAATCCCACCACATTGTTTCATTAGATAATGGTGGGTTTCTATATGGGACGGAATTAAAAAAGCAAAATGAAAATTTTGTTATACCCAGTAATTTAATCATCAAAAGAAGAACCAAATTGGAAAAGCATCTAGAATGAGGGATCCAGAGTCTTCAATGCCATCAACATTTTCCCTTCATTTAATAAATAATGTAATGACACACAGCTCAGTGTAGTTAGGCTATATCATGGATCATAGCTGATAATTTTCCAAATTAGTGTTCACTAACAGGAAAATATTAATATAGTTTATGAATAACTGGCAATTCTTCTGGCATTAAAATATTTTCAACAAATTTTTATTTACTTACTGCTTACTGTGAAATGGGCTTTGCTACAGGAAAGCAATGTGTTAAATAAATAAATACCTTACTTATAATTTGCATCTGCACCAGGGGTGGGTTTCAACCGGTTTGTGGCGGTCCCCGCGAACCGGTTGGTCGGCGAACCCGGAAGTAAGTAACTTCTGGGAACGGCGAAGGGCCCACCCGCCCGTGCTCCTTACCGGTCTTTGAAGGCTTCTGCGCTTCCACGCAGGAGCATGGCACATACAGTGCTGCGCGATTCTCCACGAGCAATTGGATGGCACATACAGCGCCTGAGCGATTCTCCGCGAGCAGCTGGATGCCACATACAGTGCCTGCGCGAGTCTCCGGAGGANTTTTTTTAAAAAAATCTACAGGTAATCCTCGACTTACAACAACAGTTCATTTAGTGACCAATCAAAGTTACACTGAAAAATGTGACTCGTGACCATTGTTTACACTAAGCAGCAGTTGCAAGGTCAAAATTCAGACCCTGGGCATTCAAATCATCACCTCCTTTTAACAACCCCATAATCCCTTGTGGAGTGGAGTCTGGGCAACTGAATGGAGCTAGCAGTCTTCTAATGGCCGGATGCCCTTCCTGTCGCCCATGCGGAGTTTTGTTCAGCAGTGTGCCCAGAGAGAGAGAAATATCTACCTCTATCTAGGATCGAACTCACAGCCTCCTGATTATGAGGCAAAAGTTCCACCGCTAGGCTACCACACCACACTTCCCTAGGCATTCATATGAAACAAACAAAATGCTAAAAAGTTACGATGTTTATGTAGTTACTTACAAAGTACATCTAAATTATATTAAAGTATGCAAAATATCTTTGCAATCCCCGAGGCATGTCGCAACTTTTGAGCAACCCTAAGGCTTAGAAGTTGAAAATTGAAAAATTTGACACGGCAACTGACTCATATTTATGACATTTGCAATGGCCCGGAGTCACATAATCACCTTTTCTGACTTGCCGATAAGCCAAATCAATGGGGAATCCAGATTTAGTTAACAACCATGTTCCTAATTTGACAATTGCAGAAATTCCCATAACAACTGGTGCAAAGAAAGATCATAGAATGGGGCAAAAATTCACTTAACAACAGAAATGTGGGGTTCATAAGTCGAGGACTACCTGTATTTGCCAGGTTCGCTGACAACATTTATGCTTGATCAAATGTTTTTTTTTTAAATTTGTAGAAAAATGCTTTTTTGTTGTTGTGGTAGTAGTAAAATGTGATTCGAAACCATCTCATGTGTGTCTGTGTGTGTGAAATAATTTGCAAACACCTTTTTTTTGCCAATATTTGGAAATATTATTGGGAAATCAAGGACCCTAATCCTATACTGTACACTATAAAAGTTTGGTGACAGATCCTACCCTGTAAGTATACAATGGATCACAGCTAATGAGTTAAACATTCATAACCTGAACATTTCCCAAAGAGGACTTAAGCCAAATATAGGCTGAGGTCTATACAAATATATCTGATCTCGTAGAAGCATACAAAAGTCTTCAAAAGCCAGATTGATCTCAAGAAATAACTCTTTATTCTGAGACAAGTTACCATTACTTCATTTTTTTAAAAATGACAAAACAGCAATAAACACTTCGGCTCTTTAATGAGCAGATAACCAGGTCTCTTAGCATTGGAATAATCATAATGTTCATTATTCAGATTAGCTTTTTATTTTTCACTCAATAGAGCCAGCATTAGTGGCCCAAAGAAGTACAAAGAATTTTCCCCATCAAGTTGTATACAATTGGTTGTATGTGTAATAAGCGTTCAATCTTGAAAAAGAGTAACTGAAAAGAAACGTTTTCTGTTACTGCAGTTAGTTTGTCAGAGAAAGTTCTGCGCGTTATCTTACAAACTATCAAAATTGCTAGTCATTTGAAAAAATGCAAAATAAAATAAAAATCACATAACTGTACTCTAATAGAAATATAATACAGGAAAAGAGAAACTGTAATCACCAGGGCTGTGCTCTTTAGTCCATCTTAATTTTTTTCCTCTTTTTTAATATATAAATGTATGATTACACATACAAACTTTTTTTTTGTTTTGTAAATGACCACTGCAGACCATATTTTTTTAAAAAATTGAAAAGTTAACTGTATGGGCAAAGGGGCAAAAATCATCCTGTTATTTTAAGCCTACTTTCATTTTCAATCCCAGACAATATTAAACAAGATGCAGAATTAAACATTTTCCAGATTATACCACATTGTTATTTCAATTGCAATATCTAATAAAAATACAGGGATCTCCTTTCTTGGACACTCTGTGATTCACTGGCAGTACACAAAGCAAAAAAAAATTAGGGAGTAACTTGGAAATCGTGTAAGTGAATTTGTCCTCATGCAATATGATTGGCTGTATGAATAAGTGACAGTTGCATTTGTTGTGATCATTTTCGGCAAGGTCACTTTTACCTCTGACAACATATTCCTAGCAAATAAATCTTGAAGCCTTCCTTGTTCTTTTGATGTTGTGGTGGTTCTTTTCATTGAAACTATTACGGATGTACGTGGAAGAGATTATAATGGAACTAGACCCAAATGGGGCTTACTCCATCAAAAGGTGCCCTGTTAAATGTTGTAACTTAATAGCAGGGTGGTGGTGGAGTAGGGAGAGATTATTCTTATTAACCACTGCATTTACATTTCACATTATTTCACTGCTGAACCCTTAGAGGATATTTTCTCAACGTGTTGCCCATCAGATATTTTGGACTGTTAATTTTCCACCAAAAATAAGTCCAATGCATCTGGAGGACATTAAATTGGGAAAAACTGACTTGTACCACCAAGTCTCTCTAAAAGCTACTGCAGACACCTCCATTAATGGAAGGCAGGGGTTTACTTACAATTTCTTCTTCCCCCCCCTCCTAGAAAACAAACCTTCCTTCAGTTAGGCCAATCAAGGAAATAAGTTTCTGATGGACACTCCAATGACATGAGAAAAGATTTTAATGACAGCTTAATCAGCAGCACACCCACCAAGCATAATAAATTATCATGCACGTTGTGCGAAAAAAAAAAATTCAGTTCCTTTTCCCCCACAATGTTTATACCGACAGCACTTGTGTGATAATGTTGAAGCTGCCAGATTTCCAGAACATGGTTACTTAGAAAAAGAAAAAAACCTGGCAGATCTCAGCACATGAGCCTGTGTCTAAGGCCTTGAACAGCTCTGATGCTTTGGATACTGATTCAAAGGTATAAATATGGTCTACACAAGAAAACAGTTCCAAATAAAAACCGGTGCAAATGATGTGACATTCCATCAATGTGTCCCTTGTGCATATTTATAGAACTTTTTTTTTTTTAAATTTCTCAGTTGTAGTTTCTCTATCACTCCTGTGTGACACGTGCCTAATTCCATCACGTAACTTAAACCCTCAAAAAAATTAATAAGAGTGTGAATGTAAAAAGTACCATTCAAAGCAACTGCTTCGAGCAATTGCTAAAGTTATGCTTTCTCTTTTTTTTTAAAGTTCATTTGTATATATGTACAATTCATTTTTTTCCCCAACTCCCTCGAGTTCTCGATATGTATATTCACATAATATTCCTCCAAATTTAAATAATAAGAGTCTTGTAGGGTTGAAAGCCAAGTTAAGTCTTCAGCAATTATAACCCAATGGAATCCAACCCAAAAAATAACAGTTCATATCCTCTTGTTTGGCTATACCCTAGTTGTTGAATGTGAATGAGGATGTGGATGGGGCAGAGTGCTGTTCTGTCCACCAGTAAATGTATTAAATGTGTGTAAGGGTTGAATCCCAGGTATAGTGTTTGGAATCATTGTAATCGTGTTGGGGGTCATTAAAGGAATATCATCAGGTGACCTTCTCATAGCTAGTGTGTAGTCTGGGGGGCAGGCGGTCCTAAGAACCACCTCGTGTGGATGAATGGATTCACATTCATGACCCAAGTCACTGTGCTTCATTTGGAGGGACATTATTTCCTCTTCTTGTGCGTGGGTGAGATCGTTGGCAGTTGTACGCTGAGGGCTACATCTCCGATGGACATCATGTCTCCGCTTGTCCTTTTTGTAGTATAACGCTGCAAAGGCTAAAATGTTCAAGAACAACAAGGATGCTCCCACAGCAATGGTGACACTCAACTCCGTGGAGTAGTCTCTTTGATCTCCTGAAATTAGACTCGGTGGTTGTTTGGGATCATCTTGCTTGGCTGTAGGAAAAGCTGACGTTACAGGTACCAAATTTTTCCGGGTTGGCCTGAAAGTAATATCAGTTGATGGCACTTTAGTTGTTGTAGAGGTATACTGTGAAATGTCATTAAGATTGTGCAGGTGAGGTACGAGTTCCAACCACAGGTTCACCTTGTTAGCTCTGTAGTGTTCCTTCACGCGTGGTTTTAATCCAATGTGAAGATAAAGCTGATCTTTTTGAGAGTATCTGGTCCATGCTACCTCCTCAAAACGATTAGGTTTTGTGTGAATGAACTTAGTATCTTGTGGAACTGGTTGATTGGGATCCCTAGGAAGAAAATGGGAAATGTCAAGCTTTTTGGGAAAATTGGTATTTCTTTTAAAAGCATTTTTACCTGCTTAGCACAACATCTCACAAAACACAGTATTAAATTAGTATGAATTAAGAATATGACTAGCATTGAGCCTTAGTCATATTTAAATAAGATAAATATGTCCCCTCGCACATATGTTCTAGTCATTCCATTCTTTAGGGGGGGTGCTCATCTCTGTTTCAAAGCCGAAGAACCAACACTGTCTGAAGACGTCTCCATAGTCACCTGGCCAGCATGACTAAATGCTGAAGGTGCACGGAACGCTGTTACCTTCCCACCAAGGTGGCCCCTATTTTT